TCTACACACACATTACATTACCTTCCCGCGTCACGTTTTCCCCTCTTATATATACCCGACTACCCTATATCTAGTAAATACTAGAGCATTCGCCAAAGTACAGGATAGTTCTAGAAACGTGGCGTCACAGTAGTCATGTGACTCGGTGACGCAACAATATTGTAATTTTCCTGAGCAAAACCTTGCAACTGATTAGCTCACTATACGATCTCTCTAGCTATCGGTCTACTTAGTTACAAAAACGTATTGATTTTTACTCTCTTTTTTTTCTAAATATATCGAATTTTTGTTGGGTACATGTGTACATATATATCTGCTGTTTAGTTGCTATCTGTCTGACTTGGAACGTAAAAGTTAATTTGCGAGAAAAAAGTTAACCACAGATCTGATGTGAAAATTTTAATGTTAAGAAGTAATGTTATGCATTTTCCGTATTTTATCTTAAAATTACATTTCTAAATTAAAACATGAAAGGAAAGCAAGCGAAACTTTGAGAAAATTTTTGCCTTAAAAATAGTCAATATATTTTAACAGGGTATAAAGTTCCTAATTTATTTTCCTCTTTTCATAGAACACAAACATGATTCCAAGAAGGATCAGAATATTGTTGTTCTAATCATACTAATTCAATGTAAACTTCAGTTTGGAAACAGTTATTTAAAAACGAGAGAATTCAAAATCCCTGAGTTCGATAAAATCGAACTTGATCATCTCTGTTTAGAACGAAATAAAAAAGAGCACTCATGTATACAACTACCTTAAAAACCAGAACTAATCTTTATTTTCTTAGTGGATCAATGTTAATTTATTGGTCATGAGGTACTTGTATTAAGATTCGATTAGACCATTAAAAATTTTTTTTAGAATAATGACATTTACATCACGCATTTCTCACACGTTCGATTTCAAAATAATCTAGATATTCCAACATCGAGACGGCTAGGTAGTGTGAAAGTTAAGCAAAACACAACGCCTATCAGGATTGAAATTTGTAGCTGTAGGACAATCTTATACAATCGACTATCTGCTGTCTGTCCACTGCGGGGAATCGAACCATAATTTTACCAGTGTAATATATAATTCCGCAAACTTACCGACAACCTACCGGAAGGGGGGGGGGGGGCATGTAATAAGGAAACGTCTTTAAAATGTTACCAAAAATCAAATTAGCGGAATGTGTCAATCAATAAAGAGATGCTGCTTTATATCCCTGTGGCTACTGCATGCTTGAAAGAGAAGGCATTCTGCAAAATCTGCCCTTCATGAATATCACCGACGTGAGTGCATTATAATTGTCTGTCGTTCTTGGCATTCCATACGAATTATACAAGTGATATGTTTCTACGACAGTACCAAAAATACTCTGTTACTAAGAATAAATGTTAAATTTTCAAGCACGCTCATAGCCAGAGGCCAGGAGTATTCAATTGAACCCCCTCCTTCTAAGAAAGGCTACCCAATTTGGTCACTTACTCACGCTCCCCCAGTGGCATAAATCTACGGACTTATAACCCTAAAAACCTGATTTCAGTGGCCGTGATGGGCACAGCACAGATAACCCAATATGTAGTTTTGTGCGTAACTACAAACAAACACTTACTCGGGCTAATGTATAATCAGAATAAATCCCACCATTCAACTATGATTTTTAAATTTCTTGGTTACTAATTTTAATAATAATAGTGTTTGTTTGTTTGTAATTAAGCAATTGTGTCCTGTTGTTTCCGTTTTCTGACATATTAATTAAATGCAATACGTCCACATAAAGCTGCGTTAATGCCTTCTGCTTGCTTGCTTACATAACAAAAAGTCACTTTTTTATGGAGTGGGGACGTTCCTCATATCCTGACTATGGACCTAGTACGTTAGAATGTTAGACTGGTTCTTTTTTAATTCGGATATAACATAATGTTGCGTCAGCGAGGTCACGTGATTAGTATCACGCCACGTCCTTCTCGAACCTTCGTGAATTGTCG